TCGGGCAGAGCTGGGCCCAGGGCACCGCCGGGAAAGGGGTTGCGGCAGTGCAGGTCGATGCGGCAGCTCTGACCGTTGGCGTTGTAGCCAGACTTTTCCACCCAGACATGGGAGAGGGTGGCGTACCTGAGCAGGCGGCCCATCTCGTCGCGAAGGGCGTTGTGACGCTTGATGGGACGGCAGGTCAGCAGGTGCTCGCGGGTCAGTCGCGGTTGAGGTGTCTTGCTGCTGCAGAGTGGGCACTTGTCCGTCGGCTTGACGTTGATGAGTTCATGGAGGCCAAAACCCATCATGGACACGACCGCAATGGCAAAGGTCGTGTCGCTCAAGCGACGCAACTTGTCCCGACCCCGCATGGTCAAGACAGTGCTGACGCCCCACTCGCGCGAGGCCAGATATGCCTGCTGCAGGTCCAGCGCGCACTTGGCCATCAGGTCGTCCAGTACCGCCTTGGAGCGGAGGGCAATGATCTCCGCTGGTCGCTGGGTCGCCGCGTCCTTGACCGTGGCCATCTGGAAGCCAGCTCGCTGCACGTGGTCCTCAAAGTAGGCAGCCCTCGATGCATCCTCCAAAAGTCGATCGTAGACCCGAGGGTAGCGAGTGGCCAGCTTGGCCATGTTGCAGACATAAGCCACCGGACCGCGCTCAACCAAGTCGTGCAGGCCAAAGCCCCCGGTGTTGGCCCGCGTGAAGATGCGAGCCTCAAGGAGCTGTTCCAGCGTAACGTCATGACCTCCAGCTCCAGCTGGTGCAGACAGGTTTACCTTGGCAAAAAAGGCTTTGACAAAGGTGTCCTTGCAAGCACGGTTCAAGAGCTCGGACAAGCCCGACGTGAGACTTGGGGGCAGCGTGTAGAGGTGGTTGATGAGGCTAGGCACGTACTGCATGGCCGTGAGGAGGGCCTGAAGCGAGACACCGGTCGTCAGCATGTCATTGAGCTTGCCAGCAATGTGCTTCGCCTTGTCGTTCAGCTGCTTCTTCATCCACTCGCGACGGCCAACCGGCGTTCCCAAGACCGTCATGCCCGTGTTGGCCGTCTCGCGCACGGCATCTGGCAAGACAGACTTGATAGCAGCGATGGAAGCGGGATGGTGGCGAGGCATGTAGAAGCGGCTCTTACTGGGCTGCAAATGAAGGCCAGCAGACTCTGCACGAGCCTTGACAATCTCGACGTCGGCCGCCACGTCCTCCGCGGGACCCATCAGTACAATGTCGTCGAGGTATTTGATGATCTTGCAGCGGTAGTCAGTGGTGGCGTCGAGGAGACCCAGGACCTCACAGGAGTACAGGGCAAAGAAGAAGGGCGATAGCTCGTTGCCCTGCACAATGCCTTGGCCAACATCAATGTCAATCACCTTGAAGAACTTGTCGACAATGCAGTGGGTAGTGGGTCGAGCATAGTGTCGTT